GGAATCTGTGGGATCACTAAAACAACGTCACTCCTCTCCCTTCTGCTACGCTAGAGTCTGGAGTCGACAACGTCACTCCTCTCCCTTCTGCTTCGCTAGAGTCTGGAGTCAACTAAACACTGGACACTCCTCTCTCTTCTGTTACTTCAACTAGAGTCTGGAGTCGAGCCTTGTCTGCCTTCTGGAGTCCCTTTACCCCAACACTGTATATACAATCACTGGAACTAAACCTTTGCTAAAGTGAGATACAAGGTTAGTAATATGAAGTACAAAAACAAGCTTGACCATTGTTAATGATCTGGCCCGGCGCGCGCTACTTCGTAGCTCGTGCCGTCGGGCCTAACATTTCGAGAAGAAAGCGGCGCGTGCTACTTCGAAGAAATTTAGACGAGTAACATCCGTCAAAAACAAGCTACAAATAGAATTAAGATTCTAACACTTTCTTCTAGAAATGGCCCGATGGCAAGAGCTACGATCAAGTAGCGCGCGCCGGGCCAGATCATTAACAATGGTCAAAATCTTTCCTAATACTTTGTCTGAAACATACTAAAAATGACTATCATTTACAGATCTGTTTAAATTAGTTTCTTTTTTGAAAGCCTCTAATCTTATTTTAAAACTTAACACAGTCCCACAATTCTTGACATCCGAGGGGAGCTGGAGTTTGTTTCAATATTGTCTCACCTTCTCCGGAAGAAAAGAACTGTGGACTTTCTTCATTTTACTGCTACTTTTACTGCATTTACTGTTTGATACTTGACGGATGTTACTAGTCTAAATTTCTTCGAAGTAGCGCTTGCCGCGCTTTCTTCTCGAAATGTTGGCCCGATGGTTGTAGCGCGATGCGTTACTGTACCGCGCCGGCGCGCACTCAATAAGGCTTCTCGCAGCGATCGGCTAGATCGGCGAGATGCGCTACTGTGCCGCGCCGAGCTGCCATGAATTGACATCGTCAATTAAGCCCGATGGCGAGTGCTACGAAGTAGCGCGCGCCGGGCCAGACCATTAACAATGGTCAATTTGATACCACATTAAGACCAGATCTGCTCATACTGAACAAACCAGCTCCGTAATTGGCCAAACCACTTATCATTTTAAAAGATTCAATGAGGTCCCCACGAATTCGCCGCTCTGCCAGCGTTGTTAAATTGAGGATTTCCAGTCGACGACTGTATGGAAGAGTACCCACCTCGTGAATCAGACGGTTGACGGATGTTACTCGTCTAAATTTCTTCGAAGTAGCGCGCGCCGCTTTCTTCTCGAAATGCCCGACGGCAAGTGCTACGAAGTAGCGCGCGCCGGGCCAGATTATTAACAATGGTCAAATCAGACGGGTAAACCGCCTCTGGACGCTCTCCAGCTCCAAGATGATAAAATATTTAAATTCAAATTAACTGTATTTTATATTGAAAGCAATCACTGCCATTTAAAACTATAATTTAGACTTTGTAGTCAAATGATCGATCATCAGAGACTTCGTGCCTGCAAATCGGATTTATATTTTAAGCAAGTTATTGGTATTGATCGGAAGGCATGTAAAAAATGATTACTCTCAAGTATTTAAATAGTTGCTTCATTTACAGATCAAGTATACAGCTCCAACTTCAAAATACACTATTAGAATTTAAAAGACAGAATTCAAAAGACAGACTTCAAAAGACAAAATTCAAAAGACAGAATTCAAAAGACAGTCTTCTAAAGACGTATAAATATATATTTTATATATATATATATTGTTTACTATCTTATTCATTATACTGGACATGAGATGACGAAGTATCTTAAGCAGCACTTTATACCCCCACTTAGAACTTGATTAGTCACGAACAATAGAATCATAAAAAACCAATACAATAAAACATTTAGTAGAGGCTCTTACGGGCATTGTCTGCTTGATACGCTAGGGACCCCAGATACACCTTACTAGACGTATTTTTGACCGTAGAATCGATTAAAAATAGTTTCAAAATGATTGGACTGAGTTAGCACCGTTAAAATTGCAAAAAACCGATTTTGGGGCCAAAAATAGGCCAAAAAAGCATGTTTTTTGTTAATTTGAGCAAGTTAATTTTGTTGGCATGTCGGCAAAATTTGCATGAAGGTAGCTAAAAGACAGCCGCACAAGATGGTTAAAAAATTTTAAAAATCCCTCTATTTTAGTGCAGGCAAAAACCCAAAAAAGTGGTAAAAATTTTGACTTTTTTGCTTGAAGTTTGAATAATTTTTTGCAGTTGTATTAAATCAACCCAAAAATAGTCACATCGTGTTTGCCTAAATTTTTCCTTTCCGAGAAGTACCCACTTCATATACTTTATCGAAGTTTGAATATTGTCACTCCGCAAGCGTTTTTGCCAAATTTTCGACGCGCACTACGCGCAAAAGCATTTAGTTGTTATCAATTGGCACCCGCGCGTTCATCATAAATTTCAAACAGCTATAACTCAGCGAGATTATGTCCGTTCTAGCTCATATTTTCACACCAAATAGAAAATAATGTGATCTTATTGCTGACAAAATATGAATATAATTACTTTATTTGCCTTAGAGTAATAGACTGTCAAAGTTTAAAACGCGCATTGGTATAGCACGTGACTAATAAGGCCAAATTTATACTTCTTAACATATTATCGATCCTTAGACATCATACTATTGTGTCCAATTAGCGGTTAGGTCTCTAAACTCGTAGCAGAAAACACGTCTTTTTGCCCGTAAGAGCCTCTACTAATCTTGATCAATAAATGCCTAGCAGCACCAGACAGCAGCCGTGTATCTTTTTCGACTCCGTGGAGTCCCTGATGGACTTTTGTTTACTTTTGTTAATAATCGGACCAACCTTTCTTTCTCGAAACATGTATCCTACTGTATTGAATTATAGTATTAAGATGTGAAGATATACTAGATATTACAACGAAATAGAGGTATACCAAATTGGCCCTTGATATTAACTATAACCGTGTTGATAGTTTTAAATTTTGTATGTTGTAAGTATCTTAGTTTGTGAAGCGTTTACTCCTCCCCCTCAGCAAGACAGTTAGATTGTAGATTAATGATAATAATTGTCAAATGACGTTATATATTATATAACAGTTATAAATGTTCACTAGTTGTAGAGCGATTTCAAGAGTAGTGGTCCACAGGGGTCCGAAAAAGCCGTACAGGCACTTGGGTCCTTATCCTTGTCACTAATCTCAATTGGATTCGGTTTACACAAAACATGAACATTTAGACGTACACATTGACACGATATTTATTAGAAAGCAAAAAGTATAAAATAATACGTGCGTGCGCGGCTTGAGCCGCGCCGCATAAGAACGGATGCGTGCAGGGGCTGGAGTACGCTTGTATGTAGATTAATGAAATGTTGCATTGTAAATATTTAGAATTGACGATATATTATGATCTAATAGTAAATTTTACAAAGCTGGCTTTGGATTTAGGTAAGATTATAATTTATTTTTAAAAAACCACGGATTGTTTTAAATTTATTTCTATTTGTCGTATAATCATAAACAATTTAATCCTGTTTTCAAGAATGCGCGGCATTGGCGGCCAGTTATTGATTTATACATTAAATTGAATTTTAAATAGAAATGTGAATATATTAAAATTTAAAACTTTCAAAACGGAGGCTAATAAATATTATTATATTATGATTGTAAAATAAAGGATAAAATTTTAAATTTGTTTCACTAAAAATTTGTTTCACTATAATGAAGTGTCTTGATTCGAAATCCTTAAAACTACAGTGATTTCTTTCCGGGGAGACAAGAGGTATAAAAAGGAATTTTGTTGATATATAAAGTTTAGACTTAAAGCTGCAAGGCCATGTGTGAATTTCAAGTGGTTCAATGAATATTTTAGATGGGAATAATCTGAGGACAAATACTTTTTCCGCTTATAAATATTTTACCTGGGTAAGCACAGGGCTTCAATGCTCTATCTAATAGTTGTCATCCTAATCATAACCACAGGCTCCTACCAAGAACAGATACAAAATATCTTGAACCTTTTATATCTTATATTAAGGGTACACAGGTCGATGTAAAGAATAGTTCTATATTGTATATTTAAGCCTGGATGCTCACTAAGTTTACGGGGTCCTCGCCGCTCAAATTTAGCCATATTTAGTATATATTGACTTTGTATGTAAGACAATGTACGTCAGCTTATTGTGTCAATTATTTGATTTGATTTTTTTAGGCAAAGAATGTCACTAGTAGATTTTCATTCTTGGACTTCGACTTTAGAGTACAGTGTTTAATTCTAACTTTGATCATGGACTAGATTCCAGTGGATTTTGAAGTCTATATCCAGCGTGTAAAGTTGTGTGCACTTCGGATCAGGACCTATTCTAGAGCATGCTGGGTGTTGCGCAGTGGCGTAACGTTGCCTGTTGGCGCCCCCGCCGAAAATGCGCCCCCCTGTTGGCGCCCCCTCCCCTTTTGATGCCACTCCCTAAAATTGAACAAACTAGGTGATTTTAGAGGATACACCGGTAAAAATCTCTAAAAAAGCGTGTTTCTAGAGCAAAACGTGCAGTTTTGCTAGTACCTCAGTTAAGTTTTTCAAAAGTGTCCCACATTCAAACGACGATTTTGCGCCCCCCTAAGGTGGTGCCCCCCGCACAGCGGGGTCAGCGGAGCCCTTCGTTATGCCACTGGTGTTGCGTAAGAGATACATAACGAAATATCACCTTTTTTAAAAACTCTGTACATCAATCTTAACAATATGATTTGTGAATAGCCCGTTTTTAGATTGGTTGTGCCTGTTATGTTTATGATTGTTTTAGGGTCTCTCAGATGGAATGGGTCATAATGCCTTATGAAATTTTGCATTCTATGCAATTTAGCCAGGATAATTTTAGAGAGTATTGTATGGTATGAGACCATCACGAAATTGTGGCAACATCACTACTATATTTTAGTTTCACTATGTAAAACTGTAAATGATCATTTCATACACCATTTTCTTAAAATCACTAATTTTTCTATTTTCTACATAGGGAGAGGCTGATACAACTGCAGATAAAGTGCGTAAAGTCATTATAGCACTTTATAGGTTATAATAGGGACATGTTATGACACTGATTACTGCTGCCCTAGTTTTTCTTGCTGTCGTCAGGAGCAATGCTTTCGAGTTTTGGGATCCTGCTGAAGAATACCCTGGCCTGAATAACTACTTTGACAATGATTTCATTGGCAGTAGTTTTTCTGACCTGCAAAAAGATGTAAGTTTTAAAGAAATCTTTATTTTGTTATTTATTATTATTATTTATTATATTTAATCCATGATAATTGGTAAATTCACGTGTGTAGTAATTAACCATTAGCAATGAAAGTAATTAAAGACATGTCCATTTCTGCTAAGTAACGTTCTTGGATTGTCTTGCTCTGTTTCGAAGACGATTTTATTAAAAGAGACTCTGACAAATTTGGAGCATTATTAGCTTGATTTACTGTTTCATACAATAATTTGCATTATGTATCCTCAGTATCCCAACTTAGTGAAGATCTCATCTCTTGGAAAGACACCGGGGGAAAATGAAATGCATGAGATAACGATTACAAGTGACGTATCTTCTTGGCAGACAGCCAACAAGCCTAGTGTTAAGGCAAGTTTTTAGAATATTAAATTTATTTTGCTAAAAATATGTTTTTCAAGAAATTTCATTAGTGTCACAAAATCAACTGGTATGGGTCTGAAGTACGGTTTGATATTTCCGAGATCTAAAATTCCGATTAAATAATAGATTAAGATACAAAATTAACATTTGCTGCAGACAAATTTGTTGAGGCAAAACATTTTTGTTATTAAAACCCAATTTTCAGTATGTCGCAAACATGCATGGTAATGAAATACGTGGCCGAGGTTTACTTATGAAGCTAGCTTACTTCTTGTCAACACAATATGACTCTGATCAAGATGTGAGGGATATTTTGGACGCTACTGTCTTTCATCTGATCCCAACCATTAACCCTGACGGTTTTGATGAAGCCTATCCGAGTTGTTCCGGTGTTAGGGGCAGGTAGGTTTACTTACTGTTTCCTGTTTAAGCTTCCTCTCCAGCAACCAGTTTTGTTGTTAATTCTTCTGTGTATTCACCTTCAAGTGTTATTCTCATTTTCCTTGTCAATTTATATCAGGGATACCTGAAAAATTACTCTCTGTAAATTTTCAGATACACGAGTGATGGTACCGATATGAACAGGGACTTCCCATCGCATTGGTTTAGTGGCGTACGTGTCAAGACCTGCCGAGGAAACGCAAATGATTAAGGATTACGTTAGTCTCTAGATTGTAGATATATTGCATTTTAATCGATTGTACAAAAAATGATAACCATTTAATCCGATTAGCCGTAAATATTTAACACTTCTAACTTACTTAGAACGTTTCTTTGAAGTCCAATCAAAGAGTTTGCTACTGACATTTAATGCCATTAAAAGTCTGACAAGGGCTCCTCCTGAATGTGGGCCCCTTCTGACCTGGCACTTATATCCAGGCTAAGAAAGTGCCCGCTGTGATGGGCATCAGTTTTCACGACGGAGCGCTGGTAACAAACTATCCTTGGGACGGAGTACCGGACATTAATTCTGGAATATATGCAGCTTCACCCGACGACTCTCTCTTTATTAGCATGGGTTCGTTTCTTTATGATTTTTTAGGTATTTATCATGTTAGCAGGTCACGAAATTAAGTCCTGCCTACAAACAGTGAAGATACCAAAAAGCTTAAATCAAAGTTAAGCTAATTATTCCAATAATTAAATCATTGGCTTTCCCTCTTTGCATATTAGTGAGTGGTTGGTATTTTTAAAAGCCATTAATTAGTCGTGCAATTCAGAACAATTATTACTCTCTTGAGAATAATTATTTCCGTCCCAACTTGACCTGTGAACTAGACTTTCGATAACCCTTACCGACTAACTTTGCCATTGAACACACGGAAATTTAATTTCATAAATGATAATTCGTGATATTGTTTCTATAATTAGCGATATTGTTTTTGCGTATTTTACCGATTCTCGGAAGAGGTTTGATTAACGGCTCTAATTTTAGCTCTCGTCACTTCAGACCTTTCTCCCAGTACAATAATTGTCCCTTCTCAAGAAACATATCATTCTTCAGAGTTATAACCTAGACTTCTGAAAGTACTAAATGTCTGTTTGAAATAGAAATTGCACTGTCCAAGACGTAATAACCTAAACATAATATGATTTGCAATTAACAATATTCTGCCAAATGCTAACTAGTTCAATGATTTATAAGTTTATTAAGTCTAATCATACAAGAATTATACAAGAACATCTAATTAGCTTGTTAATATCATTAATGATCTCTGCTTTGCAACAGAACCAAATTTCTATAACAGTGACCAACAACTTTTACCAAAAGCTTATTAGCTCCAGTTCCACTCAAGTAAATGTGTTTTGAATACCCCAGGGTACGTGGCTGAGTTACGGCTTCGTTAATAACAAATATAACTCCATTACCTTTGTCGCAGACAGTCTGTGACTGAAGGTGTAAGAAGTATGGCTTGGTAACCCAGCATATTGGTAATATTATGGCTTGTTAATTATACGGTTGGGTAACACTCTATATCTATGCTGTTTAATACTTTCAAATCCGCACAAAATTACCACTAACTTTTCTCAGGGACACGAGCTCACGGGCTCACCGACAAACTCCTGACTATACTGACAGACAATTACACTAGACTCAATAAAGAGGTTCACATATTTGGGTCTAACGTTGGAACAACGATCAACACTTGCCTTGACATGTTATATCCCCGATATATTGAAGTTTCGCCGCCTTTAAACACCTTTCTGGGTTCATCCTCAATTATTTTAACAGAAATAAAACTGCCAGTACTTGACGGACAGTTTGACACAATGATAACCCCAAACTGCTCCTCAAACAGCTGACCAGTTTAAAATAATGGAGATAAGTTCGTTTTGTGTACAGATATCAGCAAATAACAGTCTATCCTTCATTTCAGCCAAGACGTACTCCCTTAATCACAAACAAATGTACAAACCCTCGGCGCAGTGCGGTCACGACGATTTTAAGGACGGTATAACCAACGGGAACAAGTGGTACAAGGTTTACAACGGAATGCAGGATTGGAACTACTTTTACAACGACTGCTTTGAAGTTACTATTGAACTGGGTTGTTGCAAATACCCAACCGGTTCGTCAAATCCATTATCCATCATATAAAAATAGCATCAATATTGATTATTGATTACTAGAAATTTTCATTTTGATACTAATAATGTTAGAGTAGTCTGTTTTGATTATCAGAACGGTTTTTTAGTTAAGAGGACACTCATTTTATTGTAGACAGAACATACATATATGTATATTTATTATTTTGTTTCAAGTTAATGAAGAACATGATATTATACCATGAGGAGCATGATAATATTTCAGCCAACCCCACTAGGATAAATAATTTAATAGTTATAACTCTAATTATTACTATTAATATCGTTATACCGACAGCTGTACCCACCCCTCTTCTAACTTAAATCTCAAATTTGCCACATCCTCAGACGCTGCCTCAACATACAGCAATGTTTGGTCGGATAATTTCGACAGTATATTGGCCTTCAGCAAGCTCGCAAACTACGGTATCAAGGGTCGAGTCACAGACTTCAAGGGAAGCCCTATGACAGGTAATTAGCTCTACCCGAGCCCGGAGCCTAACTCCTTATCTTACCGAAAATCCTGTTTTCATTGTCTGATATGCCGACTTCAGAAGTCAAATCTAGAGTACATAGCGGGTCTCTCAGGTACCTAGCTTTAGTTGGTTCAAATCATTCCCTAGTAAATTGTAAATTGTTGCTACATAATATGATCGGTCCAAATACGGATTAAAGCGGCATGAAATAATTTGTGTAATTTGTTGTCTTTACCCGCGCCCCTCAGGTGTGACTATAACGGTATCTGGGGTAAGTAAGACCATCAAAGTGAGGCACCCGGAGGGGTATTTCTGGAGACCACTTCTAAAAGGAACGTACAACATCTCCGCGTCTAAACCCGGCTACTACCCTCTCAGCCGCAGGTACAGCGACCCGGGGCCGGGGGGATATTTACTACACGGGGGAGGGGGGGGGGGGGGTACCTGCTACCCGGGGGAGGGGAGGGGTACCTGCTTCCTGCTACCCGTTTATATCTCTCTGTCTGCAAGCCATGAAATTGAGTCTACATTTTTGTTGTACTTTCTGGTCTTCTCAGTTCTCAAGTTCCAAAGAATTGAAATATTTAACCTTCTCAGGAATATTGAGGTGATGGAGAACGAGTCGACGGTGGTGCCTTTTATCCTGATAGCTAAAAACCCATCACAAGTAAGGAGAAAAGCCCGCAGACGCAAGCGATCTATGTAATGTGTAATGCCTGTGTTGTGTATCTGTTTTAGATAACGCTTAGTAGGCTAAGCTTAGCTTAGCAGGCTTAGCTTAGCAGGCTTAGCTTAGCAGGCTTAGCTTAGCAGGCTTAGCTTAGCAGGCTTAGCTTAGCAGGCTTAGCTTAGCAGGCTTAGCTTAGCAGGCTTAGCTTAGCAGGCTTAGCTTAGCAGGCTTAGCTTAGCAGGCTTAGCTTAGCAGGCTTAGCTTAGCAGGCTTAGCTTAGCAGGCTTAGCTTAGCAGGCTTAGCTTAGCAGGCTTAGCTTAGCAGGCTTAGCTTAGCAGGCTTAGCTTAGCAGGCTTAGCTTAGCAGGCTTAGCTTAGCAGGCTTAGCTTAGCAGGCTTAGCTTAGCAGGCTTAGCTTAGCAGGCTTAGCTTAGCAGGCTTAGCTTAGCAGGCTTAGCTTAGCAGGCTTAGCTTAGCAGGCTTAGCTTTGTTAGCTGGTTCTCGTGATTGTGAATTTACTTAGGAATATTACCTACTTTATTTTTGCACAGAAAGCATTATTTTTATTAAAATTGTCTTACTTATCAATAACCTTTTCACTGCATTCTATGGATAAAACTTATTGAGATAGGACAGTTGAACACTATAGACTATCAGTATTTTATCGGAAAAGAATTGCCAACCGACGGCAGCTCGTTTCTAGCAAATAATAAGTAGGAACTGTCACTTGACACGAGATATGATTCTCCGTCATCACCGACTAATCACATAGTTGGTTCTCTTCGCTGTTGTTAAAAGTTTCATGCTGTTTCATTGTGCTGTTATATTGCATTTCACGCTCGTTCATGTTTCGTGAAACATTATTCATTTAATTGATTGTGAGTTTTGCAACGAAATGTAACTGCTAGGAAAGCAAGTTGCATGTGTCTAGTGGCATTTTTTTGGAATGGTGATTCTATTGATGGTATTCCTATATATTCGGAAATAGGGGTTTAAATTTAATAACCTGAGTTTTATTATTACATTATTTGTCAACTTTAAACAAAGAAACTATCTAAGACACACCGATGACAGGGAACTGCTTAAATGATTGCACTTTGTGCTTCGAAATTCTAATGTAGTAATGCAGGCTTGTTGTCTCCAGAGGCTTGTTTGTCATTGGTAAGTTATAGCTCTTCTGGTCTTTGTATAAATCAGCACTTTCGGCTGATTTGTCCCTGAACCAGGAATCCTGAAGCGGACAAAAGGTCCTTAGACACCCTTACCGCAGCTTATAGAGGAGTAGTTCACTTTGTCGGGCTATCCCACGAAAATGATTACCAACGCGCGCCCCTTCTTGGGTGTTTATAACCGTCATCCAAGAATTATTTTCATTTGTATTTGACGCCGGGCGGGATGAAAAATCAACTACGATCTATCATTAAACTATTGGATCTGTCAGATAAGTGACGAATGTCTCACATTTCTGTTACAAAACGTATAATAATGTACCCTCACAATATCACTGTTGTATTTATAAAATATATAGTTCTAAAAGTGTGCTCGAGCACGGTACAATTGTTTTAATGTACTTATACAGTTATACAGTACTGTTATAGGTGAAACAGGAAAACGAATGGTCGAGTCACGATGTGCATGAATGTGCCTGTATATTGTGGGGTATGTGGTGTATCTGGAGAACAATAAATATCGGGTGTGTATGACTACTATGTGTGCATTGCGCAGCGTTGCACTGAACACATGTGCAGACTCATTTCCGTAAAATTAGTACAATTTAGGAATTCTTGTTTGTAGCTCGGAATATCCTGTACCTTCATGTTGCAGAGCTGAAAATAATGTATGTGTAAATTGGTGCAAGACAATCGGGGTAACAGTTTTCAGGGGCGTCCAATTATTTGTGGTAATGTTAAGGACAAGAAGTCTGGCTGGAATTGAGAGCTGATGTATTTTAGTTAAGTCATCGCTAAATAATCCCCCTCCACATCGCTAAACATTCGGTGAATTCCATGCATTTTAGCTTTTCATCTAGTAATATATGTTAAAAACGTGGTAAAGTATATATAATATCATGTAAAGTATGCTTCCTGTCGTTTGTAAATTCCAGACAGGGGCGCAGTCTAATAGGAGCTCTAAAATTAGCCGTCACATTGTCCCTTTGAGTACCTCACCATAATTTATTATCTGTAATTAATCCCAACAACCTGGTAACCCTGGTAACCCTGGTTACCAACAAGGAGTACGTTTCTAAACTTGACTTTGTAGTTGGTACAGTACGTATCATTAATTTGGTATCAAGAAACTTGTTTATTAATAACAGGAGCGGTGACTTTGATGGAAACATTGGAACTTTGAAACACATACCTTTACAATAAGATGGTCAGGTGCACATTCTTGATTATCACTGCACCTGCTTGGGCTTGCGATGCTGGGGTCTAGCAGTAGTTGTACGAGGGGAGCATTGCACGTGGTCTAGAACCAAGAGTGGAACCAAGAGTAGAACCAAGGGTTTGTCTCGTGGTGCAGTAAGGAATTATATATATATATATATATTATATATATATCGTACAGTATCGTATCAGGAGGCTCAGTTTTTATTCGAGGTCAAAGTGTTAATGTTCGAATCTCGTAGAGGTGCAGTATTGAGGAATCTTCTGCATTTGTCTTATGACACTCGAGTCACACCTCAGTACCACAGCTTAGTGACACGTGCTTAGTGACACGTGCTTTGTTGAATGTATCACTCACTTAGGGCCGTCTCCATTCGTTTCTAAAATCAGATACATCAACAGACTTATTTCTGTGGACCAATAGTGCTTGTAACAGTGGGAATTATCTTTTTAATACTGGACATTACAATAAGTAAAAATAATGCATATGATGGAATATGTAAAGTGTAAACGTTGCTATGACAATGCTTGCCGTCGCTTTTACGGTGTTTACCCGAGATATTGCAGGAGATATCGCAGGAATGGCACGTGCGTTTCCTCAAGTGTTATAGCAGAAGCTACTTTAATATTGCGGCAAAGGGAAACAAGATATTCATTTATGCCATAAATTGCATAAATATATATAATTTTTATTCATGTATTAAATCTATTCTTTGTATTAATTAATTTATTCATCCATTTGCACATTCATTATATTAAGACGCAATATAACGCTTTTTTCGTCCAGAAACATCGTTCAGTACAGTACTTGCAATATGTATGAAGTGAGCATTGAGCAATCCTACAGCATACTAGTTAGAAATCTACAGTAGATGGAGGGGCAGGGTAAATAGAGGTATTCCGTAGAGGTAGTCCGTACGTGACTACATCTACGTGACTATAGATAACGCTGATTCGCTCCTAAAACCAACACTTTGGTTAAGGAAGATAGGCTCGGTATCACGGAGGCCCTAATTGAGGTTTAACTGTACTTTACCCTGATTTTCAGAACTCCATTATTTCGCAATCACAGATATTTGAGCTCCTTATAGCAGAACAAAGGGTAGATCAGCTGTTTAAAGGGTAGATCAGCTGTTTAAAGGGTAGATCAGCTGTTTAAAGGGTAGATCAGCTGTTTAAAGGGTAGATCAGCTGTTTAAAGGGTAGATTAGCTGTTTAAAGGGTAGATTAGCTGTTTAAAGGGTAGATCAGCTGTTTAAAGGGTAGATCAGCTGTTTAAAGGGTAGATCAGCTGTTTAAAGGGTAGATCAGCTGTTTAAAGGGTAGATCAGCTGTTTAAAGGGTAGATCATCTGTTTAAAGGGTAGATCAGCTGTTTAAAGGGTAGATCAGCTGTTTAAAGGGTAGATCAGCTGTTTAAAGTGTAGAATGTAGATCAGCTGTTTAAAGGGTAGATCAGCTGTTTAAAGGGTAAATCAGCTGTCTAAAGGGTATATCAGCTGTTTAAAGGGTAGATCAGCTGTTTAAAGGGTAGATCAGCTGTTTAAAGGGTAGATCAGCTGTTTAAAGGGTAGATCAGCTGTTTAAAGGGTAGATCAGCTGTTTAAAGGGTGGATCATAATCAGCTGTATCCCATCACGCACAATGAAAACCACCACGTCATGTGAATGTGGTTAGGTAACTTCATGGTAGATCTGGTATGTGACGCAAATAGTTTAGAGGTATGTTGAGCAATGTTTTGGTGAGAGCTCCAGTACATTTACTTGGGGATCTTAAGTGCTTTATTTAATGGGAGGCGGTTCATACCTGTGCTGTCTCCGACCACTACTAGTTTATACCTGTGTTGTCTGAGAGCACAGGTGATGTTACATCACATGTACTTGCTAACCACGTGCTCAAGAGATAGACTGTATAGTACAGCGATGTTGAAATCGAATGTTTAACTATATCTTTGAAACTTTCTGCATATTTATTTAGAGGTAAAACGTGGGCTGATATACGCAGTCTACAAATGTGTGATAATTAAAGGTTCTCTCCTGCTCCTCCTCACAGTCTATAACGGACTGCGCTGAGAAATGTTCTATTTGAACTATTTCACTTGAAGGTATTTGATTTCACAAGACAGCTGTTAGTAAATAGTACCGGTCACTTCTGTTGAACCCATATTAAGAAGTTGTGGGTCCGTATCTGCAACAAGCTCTGGGAATTATTATAGACGGATGCAATGTTGCTACTAAATGTGCAGTCCACCCGTTTGGGGATATAAACAGAACTTAACTGTGACATTAGACTGCTGACTACATCCGGTATTCTTGAGATATAATCGGTATTTGCAGTGTACTTTAAATAACTCACCCTGGATAAGACAGGGGTCCCAGGTAATTCTATTGTTTCATATCGGCACAAGTGCCATAAGTTTAATTAATCTTAGACACCGAAAAGGGCTGTAATTGCAGTCATGGTTGATGGGTCCTGATCTAGACTCAATAACCGTGATACTATCAGAAACTTGTCGTTATTCAGACCCTACTATTGTTATTGAGACCCTAGCTAGACGGTACGTGACACGATGTTGAGTTCAGTCGGGCTGTAACAAAGTTAGAATTATTGTAATTTAATCAAAATATATGCGTCCATGTCAAACAATGCGATAAGTGAGTGTTTAAAACTATTTCGATAGTTGGTCACTGACTGTCACTCCCTAAAATAGTAGAATTAGGTTTAATGTTTTATTATAACTGGTGAAACCTTCCACTGTGCCTTTATTAACCACAGTTGGTTCTTTACAACGACGCCAACATAATCATTCGCTTATTAATACTTTTAAAACATTATTACATGTATGTGACAGCCTCAATTTTCCAAAGATAAAGTAAAACATTTATAATCAAGACTCATTCAACTATCAATACATTTAAAACATTATTATATTTATCCACATAGTATGTGACACTAGTAGCAATTTCCCTAAGACGTACAAAGATAAAATAAAACATTTATAATTAAGACTATTGTCTCCTTAGTGTATATGCCATTGTGTAGAGTGTACAGTTGCGAGAAAATGTAGTTTCTATTAAACAAAAGATAATGCTGACAGTCGAGTAGACTATACAATCCACGTGTCTTCACACTCTATATTATGAGGGTGTGGTCAAATTTACCGCAATCCGATACGATACTGTGTCTGTACCATTTTACTTTGTCAATATTATTGACTATTCAGTACAGTCACAAAACTTCACTAAAGATTGTATTACATTATCACAGAATTATTTTACTACTCATTTCTCGTTTTATCGACCAAGTAAACTGTAAAAGTATTTATATTGCATTTGGCGTCACATTTTATTAAATCAAAAAATCTAAGATCTACCTACTTACGCACAGAAACCAAATATTCCATCGAATATAAAAATATGTTTAGTTGGTGGTACACAGAGAAACCTAAGATTGAATCCAACTAAAATATCTTTATATATAGTGTAAACGTGGAGCATGGTCCAGCTAAACGGTCCGACTCTGCTTTATTTAAAGTGGTCAGTCTCACGGCTGACAGGTCAGATTGATGCGTGCAATCACCGTCAGACAGTAATATTCCTATTATTTTAATAGTTAAGAGATCTCCAATCTTAACCCATAAATAAAGTGAGGACCTAGAGTTACAAAGTAGCACTATAAATCTCCCGCCGCCCAGCACAGCTCGGTAAGTGGTTGTAGCCGCCCAGCGCAGCCCAGTAAGTGGTTGTAGCCGCCATGCTTTCAGTCTAGCTTGCAACTAACTGAGTGTGGCACTAGGAGTGTGGCACTAGGAGTGTGGCACTAGGAGTCCAGCTCGCCACCTCCCTCTTACTCCAACAACACGGCACACAGTTTAAACCTTGTGTACAGGGCGGTTTGTGAGCGTCTCCTTGGGGAATTGCGTGGTGACATGCGGACACTGATTACTGATTAACATCCTGTCCTCCCCAATAGTGCTCATTCTAACAGGTGTTTTTCCAGTGACCTAACAACACTGTGTCATCCTCTGAAAGTCGGCATTCTCTCTGTGCTGCGCCACTAGCTTCTTTAATCTTTATGTACGGGAGCTTGAAGGCGTGATGTTTTGTCTTATCAGTATTTCAGTAGAATGATATGTTATGTAATTTGACTGTCATACCAGGGCCGAATCAATGTGTCAACAGTAAAGGCTTTTTTGCTGTTTCTCTATACCACTACTTTCTATTATTATAAACCCCTCCGGGATAGAATAAGATTCTGATAATCCCGGCTCCCGCTAAATAGATTCTGATAATCCCGGCTCCCGCTGTTAGTTTTTTCCCGCTGAATAAATAACCCCGGCAGAGCTTTTATAATCCCGCCCCGCTAATTTGGCTCAACAAGATTTGTTTTGTTTTGATATTCCATGAGAATTTCAACCGCGTACTGTCACGTGTTTTGATGACGTGTATCACGTGACTAACTACTACGACGCGCATTGGTAAAAAATGTCACGTGACCTATGGCTTAACGTAAGAACTATAAATACACTCGATCTACGTATCGGTCTAATTGCAGGCGCTGGCAAAACTCCAGCACACTACATTACTTAAACTCTTACATTAATTGGACCAGTTCCAAAACTTGTCTCGACGGTTACATTTGATTTTGTCCGGTTCGGTTAATTTTGTCGAGTTTGATATAAGCCATGTATTATAGTCGTCTACTTTGATGAACTTCATGACACGATATCATTATTAGCTTTTATCGCTTGCCAGGCTTAACTCGACGCCCCTTATCGATATTCATATTCATTCAACGTTCTGACTGAGGAATAGTGTTTAGATATAACGCCAATTTCAAAAGTCATAGTACCTTAGTTGTATTTATTTGGAAGTCCCCAATTCCATTTCATATTTTCCATAATGATCTCATATAGCTAGAATTAAGAGTAAAATGTCAAATTTGTTGGTCCTAGCACTTACCCGGAGGGGTTTATAACACATAACACCGGCACGCTTAAGTTATATTAAAATAACCCCTCGTGCTAAAGCACGTCGGGGTTATTTTCATAATAATCCCTCGTGCTTCGCACTCGAAATTATTATAAATTTTTCCCGCGCGTCGCGGGAAAAATTGAAATATAATCCCTGCGCATGCCGGGGTTATGTGTGTTATAATCTCCTTAAGTTTTAACAGAGCATCCTAATTACGATTAGCCACAATGTCTCTATTTGTGGGGAGCTACTTTAATAGTTACCACGTACCGTCCACTTTACCGTGCGACAATGTTCCCCTGATGTCCTAAATCTGTCGGTACAATGATAATTATACCACTGATAGTCGCCATGACACCAGTGTGGTCTGGTATTATTGAACAGAGCAATTAGTTGAGAGTATGTCCGTAGTCCGCACTGCAGGTCGCTAAACTGTCGGCCAAACATGTGGACTAAATCATATTACCAATCGCTCACGAGAGTAAATCTCTCCTTATATTTGTAACGGTGTAACTTAATGTTGGTCGTTAGAGAAAGCTCTAAATTTAATTTTTTATAATAAAAGTTGACTTGGTAACTAATGTGACCATGGATTCTTAACGTAATGATGACTGAATAAATACAGAGTTCCAGAAAATAGAAGAGTCCCTCTTTTCTTTTTATCTTGGCATCTGCAAGCAAAAAATTGTATGTGGTTTTATTGTCTGCGCTATACAAAATACAAGGTCATTTTTAAGTGGTAACGCATGACTCTCTTTTCAAAATCCAATTATTTTCAATGCTGGTAAGAATATGATCTTACTACCATTTATTACTGGACAAAAAAAGTCGAGATATGAGAGTTTGCTTTTCGTCATTAACGCGGAAGTGCCATTTCTACGCTTTGTGTCCATTTACATCAATAAAAAAGTACTAGAAAAGCACAATTCTTTGAAACATAAAGTGTTGAACAGTGTGTGTATAAATACATGTGAGGCGTAAATTATATAGATATCCACTATCTAGAGTTAATGAGAGTTAAGGTGTAACAAGAAACCTACTTGTCACTGAAGAAGTTAGTGACGTTGTGACGTTGTGACCAAGCTATCCCACTGGGATTAAAACGTCACTAATTTACCCCACCCCCTACTTTCCGGTATTTTCCGCTTCGTTGGTCACTGTGGTGATGACAGTGCTGACAAAACGCATTGCTAATTACATACCTTAAAAGTCATGAAGTGACACCATCCAGTCATGATGTAAACCTCTGATTTGTCACAAGTCAAGAATATATGTGCTCCTAAGATGTTAATCTTGATACAAATACCCAAGGTTGTCAAGTTGTGGAAATAGATAATTCAATATTTGTCACTTTCAACTAAAGACCAGTAATGTGTTGAGAGTAAGTGTGATGGGGAGCAGTATGGTTAAGAGAGATAGAGAGAGAGAGAGAGAGAGAGACAACAATGTGGTCGATATAATAAACAAATTTGTGCACCAAAGGAGACTCAGCACCAGTGCTGTCACTCTTCTATAATGTTACACTGTTGTAACCTCTTCACACTGTAACTTTAAAGTCAGCAGATCCGTGAACTTTTAAGGTTTTTTCACTCATTACAGCTTAATACAAGTTTAGATCTTTATCAGCCTGATTTTGGTCTGAAGCCAATGTTTGACTGTTCCTTTTTGCAGGGACATTTCCGTGACGAAGCAAGAAAGGTTAGCGTGAGATGTGTGATATTTAGGGGTGATAAGTGCCTGAAATTACGTGTGAATGTGTGAGGACACGCCTGATTTGAAGCATGTTCGCAAACTTATGTTCTGTGATGAGAGTCAGAAACCAATTTGTGCAGCCCTGTTATACTTCGTGTGACCTGACAAATGTGCGGAATGTTTCTCCACCTACCTAGCATGTGACTTGACTACGATCAGTATCGACAATTTGACGACATACTAACAACCCCAGCCGGGCCTCTTTCTAAATATTTATATCTTATTAGACGTAGAGCCAGCGATCGTTCTGTTAGCCATGATTTATGAAATACCGAATATTTCTGTCAACATGTCCTGCTATTCGAGCTTTATATTTGGTTCGGTAACTGGTGATAAGTAGAACCCAGAGGACTTCAGCGAGCTTATTCCAGGGTAGTTCAGAGCAAAAGAGGCCGCCTAGAATTTGAAGTGTGTTGAACTTGAGAGGTAATTAGTTAATTGGAAGTTAATTGATTGTGTGCCATGCTGTGAAAACACAGTCAGATCAAACTGTAACCCAGCCGTTAAGCGTACTTTTGTGAGACACAATTTAAGGACTGAAACCCTCTAAATTTCCTCACTTAAACTTTGCACTGAAACCTTTAAACCACCTCACTTTATTATCAGTATTAATGAGTTTGGGAGAACTAACTCGTTAGTACTGCTAAGCTGGGTCTAGATAAGACAAAGCCTTACAAGAAACGGAAAGATGAAAAAACTCATCCGGTGACGTAGTAATCGTGTTTGAACTCTGAACCGAGCCTGGTTAAAATGGGGTTCGCTAGTAAGTCAGAACAAAGTGAACACCAGTTCTGGATAAAACTACATACCAGAATATTGGGATGCGGCAGTCCTGAACGCTATCTGCTACCGTCTAGATCCGACTATATCTGCACTTTTTGATCTGAATGACTCGACTGTAAAGGTATCTTGCATGATCTGCTAATCACAACAATAATATGGGAGTTTTTTTGCATGATTCTGCTTTGATTTTCAGATTTTGATAATACCAAGATAGTTGGTCATTAATAAACGTTTGATTTAAACTTTAGGTTTAAGCTATCGAATGGCTGATACCTCAAATCACAGTTTCTATAATTCTTTAATTCATCATTATTATCAGCAAAGATTCGAGTTTTCTTCCCTCCTTTTTCAACTTTGCTATCGCTGGGTTTGGTTTTATTCAGTTACGCTAGAGCATTTTTATAGTCAGGCTGCCTTCTATTTGCACTGCTACTTTTGATTGCAAACTTCAGTTAAATGATCATTCCCGGTTGACCAAGAAAGGAATGACTTGTATAGTTATCCAATGAGGTGAACTTCCAGGAAAATAACACGAATGAACAAAATTCGTCCGTTGAGGATGAAAATACCGAAAGAGAGGACGAAAATGAAAATGTTGAGGACAATGAAAGTATAGACAAATCTAAGAATATGGACGGAAATAAAGATGTAGACGAAAATGATAGTGTGGACGATAGCGAAAATGTTGACTACAATGATATCGGAGACGGTACTGGAAATGGTAGTGCTAGGATAGGAGAGGGCCCTGAAGAGAAGGTCCTGGAGGGGAGCCTGAGTTTGCTGTTGATCCTACAGATTTTCCTCCGGATATAGTTGACTTAAAAGGTGAAGAAACAGACGGAACAGAAAATGAAAACCAGGTGAACAGAGTTACTGCAATTCTTGATATTGCTGTTAAATATTTGTTTTCTACCCTTGCTAACGTAGATTTACAGGAATCATAAGCATAAGAATTATAAGGATTTGCTGGATCAGTTGATCAGCCGATATCATTGTTTTTTGGTTAGGAATTATAAGCTTATATTCATCCATTAAAGTCTCTGCAAACCCAACTTGAGCCTGTTGTTCAACAAATGTTGTCTAAATATCTATAAAATATGTTGAGTGTAGAATGTAGATATCTCCATTTTAAATTTTCTTATTTCGGAACTAAATTGTTCAGCCATTGTGCTGTAACTTTTGAGTTTTGAATTAGAGCTGTAGTAAATTTGTGTCTTACTCAGAATAAGAATTAGCAGAGGGGCCTATATTTTGAATTCTGATCCCGTAGGCGTTGTTATAATGTAAGATGCAATGAATTATACAATATACATTGATAATATGACGCAAAATGTGATATTCCATGCGGCTCTGATTTATTAATTATTGTGCAATAGGTATAACAGGTGTACACTGCATTGAATCAGGCATCAATAATCATTGAGTATACACTTGTAACATAATTAATTAACTGGTATATCGACAGAGTGGATTTGAGGAGATCTGCTGTTGAAAGCAAACACTCTGCTAAACAACAGATTATCCTCAAGTAAGAGATCTGCTGTTGAAAGCAAACACTCTGCTAAACAACAGATTATCCTCAAGTAAGAGATCTGCTGTTGAAAACAAACACTCTGCTAAACAACAGATTATCCTCAAGTAAGAGATCTGCTGTTGAAAGCAAACACTCTGCTAAACAACAGATTATCTTAAGTAAGCACACACTAAACCCTGAACTTACACCAGATGTCTGTGTGGACGGATCTACCCCCACCAGCTGTAAGAAGTAAATTCACTCGGCCCCACTCCTTCTCCCTACCTCTCACCACCACCTCCTCTCCCTTCTCCCCTAGTAACCTCTACTCTAGTCCCTTCACCACTGTTATTATTGACACTGTTCTACGAAATGTAAGGATCATCCTTCATCTGACATCAGCCCAGAGCATTGGAAATGATTTATTATTTTCGGGCTTTTTTCTGAAGTGCCTATTTCAAATTTTCAAAGATCGTTGATTGTCCTTCAGCCTTCGTGATTTATCTGCCTTTAAGCATTTGATTGTAAGTTTTTCCTTTTCCTGGTTGTTTAATTGCTATTTTAAAACGCTTCATTTTGTTTAATTTCGTTCTTTGTTGGATGACTAATCTTCTTACGGTTGAATACTGAACGAATGACATTTACCTTCTTCAATTGCACCTCTTTTGGTTTATGTACACAGACGTCTTGATTCTAATTACTATTCAATTACTTGCATGCATGTTATATATTGATGATTCTTTTACATTTGCCGACATCAAAGAATGGGAATCGGCACAAAGAAATAAGTGTGAAAATCGCAATAATTATCACTTTGTTGTGAAAATGACATTTTATTGTTATCGACTGGAACGGGTGAATGATTAGCCAAGTTTTAGCACAAACCTTTTGAAAGAGCAAGACCTGATTTATTCAGGTTTTTTGGATGAAATTGGCATGGTTTTAAGAGTAGTGGTTGAAAAAAGGAGTTTAAAATATTTTTCCAAAGTATTGCAGATAAATTCCTTATTCTAGTTCTAGTTTGATAGGTGTTGCTGTGATTTCATTCGACACGCCAAAAAGAAAAATATTTCAACAGGACTTCAACAGCCTATCGCACCTTTTTTTTCGAAACATTTTTCCCAACAAATGAATTTGTTGAATTT